TTGGACCAGATGACCTTCAAAGGTCATGCCCAACCTGAGCCATTCTGTGATTCTTTGATTCTGTGGTTATATCATTCTGTCATACTGTCATTTTGTCACTCTGTCTGTCCAGCCATGGCTGTTCCTATGAGCAGCACAATGGTATCTGCTAGTCAACCCTGCAGATTTGATGTTCTTGAAATATCTCCCCGAGCTCCATCCTGCCCCAGTGCAGCACCACCTCCTTCAGACACCCCTCTCTGCCATTCAGGCCCCTGTGTCTAATTGAGGCAGCACCCGGTTTTAATAGGAAGTCTGAACAGTATTTTTTTTTTTAGATCCTAAATTGTTTTCAAAGGGCTGGTGCATCATTCTCACCCCCCTCCAGCCCATCCAGTGCTGCTCAAGAAGCAACTGGGACAGTCTTTGCAGCCTCCAGAAGATGGTGCCCTGCTGTTAGGAAACAATGCTGCGAGCAGCAGTCATTCCAGTTCACTGGCACAATGTCACACAAAACGGTTTGTGTCTGTCAGCACATTCCTGGAAGGTCACAGTGAATGATGAATGCTCCTGTGTAGGAGCTGTAGAGTTTTTTTTTTTTTTTTTCCTTTTTTCTTTCTTTCCTTTTTTTTTTTTTTCCATGAATTGCATCACTTGGCGGCCTCTTGGCTTCATTCATTTGACTCCTGTGGTTACAAACCTTTCCCAATTGTTGTGAGCCTGCTTCCTCCACAACCCCTCTGTGGCCAAAGCAGGATATTCATGACTGACTGGCCTGGGGAAGCTGGATAACTTCCAGCTACTTTCCACAGCAGAGTTGCTCACTTCCCTCCCCCCGAGGTCTGAAATATCCTGTGGTTCTGGTTAGCTTTCTCTCCGGATGCACATCAGCTAAAGCATATGCATCATCATGTGATACCCAAGGTTGTTTCGGTGCAGCTAATTGTCACAGAGGCTTTATTTAGATGCCATGTATAAAAAGATGAGTAAAGCACTCCAGTGCGAAGCCAGGAGGATATTAGATTTGATCCTGAATGAAAAGCTGATTTTCACTGGCATGTAGCACTGGAGTTCTCCACTGAGCTTTGCACATATGTCTAAGATGTTTAAATAATTCCAATAAACTATGATGTCATCTTTGCAGCTCCGCTGCCATTTCCTATGATTTGGTTCATGATTTTTTTCCCCCTCTGAGTTATTAATTGCTCATGAAGCTCGTGCAACTGAATGGGGCTCTTCTATTTTTTCACACTCCCCCCTCCCCCCCCATCATTCACAAAACACAGACCTTCTAGTTTTAATTGGGGAAAAACACCTACAGCCAAATTCAGCATTACTTCTCAATGGGAATTTAGCAGCACCTAAGTAGCAGTAGTCACTCAGCACAATCTAACCAGCCACACTGAATGGTATTTTGTTGATGTGGGGAGTGTCTGGATATGGAGGAAGGGTCAGCAAAACCCCTGGCAGAGTAAAATCAAAAGAGGAACACCCACATGTGCAAACAATGTTCATGGGCTTGTTCATGTGGGCAGACATGTCCTTCAGAAGCAGGCAGACACGTTCAGTGGTCAGGGCTGATTAACAAGTACGTGCCTTTTTTTCTTTTTTTATTCCTCCTCCCTTCCCTCCCCCCCCCCCCCCTTTTTTTTATTATTACTATTATTTATTTCTGCTTTTGGTTGCACAAATGCAGCAGGGAAGAGGTTCTGGGAGAGGAGTGCTGGGAGCCCAGCAGTATGTCTGCCCTGAATGGTGCCAGGTCTTGTTCTCTGCCTGAAACCATCTGGCAATGTCCATGCTGTTAAAATCTCTTTGCCTTCAAGACATGGCAGCTGCATCAAATCTGGCTAGCAAGTAGTTCCTGGTCTAGTCTAGCCCTTGCACTATGCAACCTCTCTAGAAGTGCCCAGGAACTGATGGGAGGTTGCTGGCTGTGACACTGGATAGGTTCGGAAATGTTCCTGGCACTGCTGTAAGTATTTATCAGTTCAGATGATGGGGGTCTGTGACTGTGTCCTGGCTCTGCTCAGTCTGCTACTATGGATAGGGCTGGACAGACTCCTGTAGGCTATGCAGGATTCATCTGTAGGCCTGTTCATCTTTATTTTGGATAAAAGAAAACCATTCCTGGGGAGGAGAAACTGGACTGGGACCTGGTGGGAGAGAGAAGATGTAAGGTAGATCCTCGTTGACAAAGATAAAAATGTCTGGAATTTGGTAGGAGCATAAATAAAGCCAGAGAGAAATAAATTCAGAGGCCAGATGACTCCTTAGGAGGCAAAGCTTGTGAACTTAACAAAGTAGGAGATATTTTCCAGAAAGATGCAAGGATCCACATGCTGCCAGATTATTGATACATAGGGAGAAACAGTTGAAACTTCAAGATTTAGTTTTTTTTTTTTTTTTTTTTTTTTTTTTTTTTTTTTTCCTCAGCAGCAGCAAATAAGGACATTTTGCAAAAGCTTTGGTGAAGACAAGCAAATTGCAAACTGCTATCTGATAATGGCTACATGTTGCAAGGAGTGAGATGAAAGGAAAAGATCTGTGAAATTTGAGGACATTTCATGCTTTATACATTTCCAGAGATTTCATCAGATCTTTCAAGTTGTCAAAGAAATGTCAGGAAATGAAGAACCAGAGGTTTTATGCAACTTGTGGGGATTTTTTTTTTTTTAAGTTACTTGATTCGGAGAAAGTAATTGGAACTCGTTTGGTTTTACTTCGATTTCATGAAATCCCTTGGTGTAATTATTTCTCGTAGACCAAGGCCTGCATTTACAGGCTTAGATTTATTTGACACTTACCTTTATACAATCCAAGGGCTGTTCCATCTACAGGCACGCAACCAACGTCAAAACCTCCTTTGAGCAAAGGTCATTTCAGATCAAGTGAGCTCTTTGTCAGCATCACTAATAGCTTGATAACAATATGTGGAAGCAGGTTTGCCAAGAGACCTAACAGGATAGAAGTCACTTTTTTCTCTTTCCACTGTAACATTGCTTGGTGCTGCTAAATGGAGTTGCTAGGAGCAACCTTATCCTGTGTGTTTTTGTATCCAGACATGGTGGATTGCCCTGTGTGGGACTTATGAACAGCACAAAGAAATAAGGATGTCTGCAGGGTTTTGGATGGCCTACAATGTGTTGTAGAGGTGTGATGGGGATCCATGCAGTTGTGCCGTAACCAGCTGGAACAGCTCAGTTGTGCCCATACAAGCTTTGCCACATGCCCACACATGGATGCTGGGTTTGTAGTTGGTGTCTGCAATTCCCATGCTTTTCACAAGTTATCTGTGGCTCTGTTCTGCCCATCTGAGGACAGGAGATCCTCAGATCTTGCCATACAGACATGATACTCTCAGTACCCTCGGGAGGAGGAGATGCCACTTGGCAAAGAGCAGTAAGAAGGGCAATGGTGCTGTCTGCATGTCGTCTCTTTTGGGTGGTTCCTGTCTCCAGCGGCTCTAACAGAACTATCTGTATGCTTAGAGATAAGGACTACGGCTCATGTGACTGCACAGGAGAGGAAAGCTCCTCAAACATTCATTTTGTGCCTGTTAAAGAGCAAACCTCAGAGTGCCCTTATGCAGCCAGAGGAGCCTGTAGCAGAGAAGATAAGGAAAAGCAGCCTCCTGTCTTTCTCAGTGCAACACAGCCTGAGTACTTCCAAGTCATAGTGTGCTCTCAGCCCTGACTCATGGAAAATGCCTGCTGACATCTCACAGGAACTCGGGATAAGTTACTAAGGACTCTGAGGATCTTTTCTCTAGATATATTATGACATGCACACTGCATCTTTTGAGCATGAAGGACAACAAAACTTACCCAGCATCGGTTGAGTGATGTCAATATGCACTCAGCATTAGGATGGAGGGAAGGAAGGGGTTTAGCACATGCACCCACACATATGAGTAACAAATTAAAACTCCTGAAATTCTACAAAGATGTTGATTTGTTGCGAACTCTGGGAATCGATCCATGCAAATAAAAGCTCACAGTTTTTTCTTTTGATTCTCAGCAAAAGACACTTACACACCAAGGTGCTGAGCACTTGGAGTTATTAAAGACAGGGACTTCAGCTCCTACAGACAGTGCAACTGGAGTTTCACTGGCTGTCACACTCAACAGGGACAGCACAGCTACTGCAGGATGATAGGATGGTTTCCTCTGCCATGGACCATAAGTATCACTGGCAGAGGAAGACAGACTGCGGCTGTGTCTTCAACTGTATTCCCAGACAAAAACCCATGCTTTGTTTTAGTTTTGTTCTTCTGAGACCCCTGAGAGGGAAAGACCAGGACACTGTGGGATGTATGAGAAAACTATCAAACACAATTCTCAGTAACCAGTAAGTCTACACAAATTCAGCATTGAAGTCAATAGGAGTCTTTTTAATGGCTTCAGTTGGGCTCAGATTTTTACTCTAATTGTGTGCCTACGCAGGGTTTGAAGATTGAGATTCATCCACCTAAATATAGGCATCTGATTAAGGTGTCCAGGGTAGATCAGTACAAAGAGACAGATGCAGGCAGATTGTGGGTCAGACTATCCCATCCCACACAGTTAACTGTTAAGAGTCATTAGCAAGATTAATCTTCTAATTTGGTTCCTTGAATAGTGCCTAAAGTTAGTGGGCAGAACAGGTTGAAGCACCTAAGCACCCAACTGAAACAATGGGAATATTATTGCATAATTTTCTTGTGTTAGCGTTCACTAAGATTAGGGTGGAAATGTGCACATGTTGCTGGATCTGTTGGAGAGGTGAAGAAAGAAGATGATGAATTAGAAAAATCAAAATTAAAATAAACTTTTATTTTTATGCTTTATACTAATGTATCTAGAATGTTAAGAATTTATCACCTGAGATAAAAGACTTAATCATTACTAAACCCTTTGGCAATTGTTTTAATAACATTAATCAAGATGAGCTCATTTAGTGCTAATGGGGGTGTTTTAACTACTTTTATAGGATTTTCACTGAAATTCAGAATTAAATAATTGGGCCATTATTCTAAAGTGTTTTCATCATCCCTTAGGGAAGTCCCCAGTTTCTTGGCTTTCATCTGCTTGGTTTTATTTCCTGTCAAGCATTAATTCTGATTGCCCTTGACAGTTTGGGAGCACCCCCTCCCAGTTATTAATCTGACCCTCTTCTGGGCAGTCTGAGGTTGGTTGCCCCTGATAATCTATTTTGTAAATGCAGTCATGGGCAGGAAAGATTTAAAAAGGCACTAAATGAGTGTGGTGATGGATGATGAGACAGGGAGGATGGAGACTGCCGTTGGCTAAAGGCTCCAGTGAGTTGAGTTTTCCCAACATCCAGACTGGATGTGCAGTTGGTTAATTAATTGTCCATTTCTGCATACAATATTACCTTAAGCATGCTTAGCTCTTATTAGAGGCTGGGGTCGTTGCAATCTGGAATGCAGGGGCACATGCTGAAGGCTTTATGGAAGGAAGGGAAGGAGTTACGGACTCTAATTCAGTTGTCTGAATTTATCCTCTTAGTGACAGATGATATGCCAAAACATGTCTAAAACATCCCTTAACAATCAGAATTGTAATGCAGAATGTACAGTAGACCCTTACTTTCCTTGAAAAGTGGTTAGATGTCTTGGTTGTCTGAAACAACACTAAATGTTTAGGCAGCTGTGTTGAGCCCTAGGCTTAGGAATCCATTTGAGATTAGGACACTCCATGTGCCCACGTATACCCATCTACACGCAAGCTAGGTATCTAGACTCACATTAGAGTTAGTGGAGATCTAGTTAATGCACTCATCGAAATCTAGTGAGCAACTTGGCTGCTTAGCCACTAGCTGTCTATCGTAAGGCAACTTGAATCACCCTCCAGACTCTGGTGACTGTACCGAGTAGATCTCTGCTAAATACAGCGAGAACTTGGACGCCTCAGGCTCAGTTCAGCTGACTAACTATTGATGCCTAGTGCCATGGTAGCTGCTTTACAGTTTCCTGGCTGGCCTCCAGCTTTATCTTCAGAAGAGGCAGGTCATATCTGCCAGCCTGATGTGGTTGTCTCAGACATCCAATGACACCTGAAAAAATCGCAAGAAGGTTATATGTGGGCACCAAAGCACTGCCTTTTGTCATGCATAATAGGGTACAATACATGAAATCACTTCAATACAAAAGCTAAATTTCTCTGAATCATCCATATAATGATATGTTCATTTAGATGACAGCTGTATTAAAAGGTTTTATTTAACCTGGTAGGAAAGCCTGCATCAATCATTCCTAGTGTTGATAATCACAGGAGACATTGCCATTTCAAACTCACCCTGCTGAATTGTCAGGTCATATTCTACCAGCTTGTTTGGTACTTCACATGTCTATGCCCAAGGACTAACAGCAAAAGGTAACTGTAACACATTTAAACATGACATAATACATTATTTTTTTTTCATATTCAACTAACTTTATGCACTGCTATTTTCTATTTTTCTCACAGAAAAACTGAAAGTTTCTTGTCTCTTATTCCATTATGGTGATTGAAAATAGCACAGGGTGGTAGATGGATAAGTATGAGGCAAAAAAAGAGAAAGAAAAATTTTCCATTGTATATCTTATCTTGAAAATAATCTCTGAAAACTTCTTTGTTTTAAAAGATTGTTCTCAGTGTAAAGATCTTACTCAAACCATGGTATCAAGAGCAATAAACAACCTACATTACATACAGCAGAATTTCACTTCTGTAAGTCCCATTTTCCAAGGAATTATGTGATAATGCAGATCACATTTTGTAACCACAGTTTTTATCTCTTGCAGCTTGTACATTTTTTATGATTTTAACTGTTGGCAAATTACTTAACATTTCAGATAAATTTAAAAATTCCTGTTTTTTATTCACAAAAAGAAGTCAAACAATTACACTGAGGAACTAATGACTGAGAAGAGTTATTTTCAGGATAGCTTAATCATTGGGTAGGGTTGTTAAGATGTCATCTTTTAACTGTGCCATGGAGGCATCTCTATTTTTGTCCACTTCATGTTCCCACAGATGGGTCTCAGGTTTTGCAACATGCATTGGGCATGGCTTATGGCCATGCCAAATATATAATGAGTGTGGGACCCAGGTAAAAATATATGCCATGTATCCTGTTTACTCTTACACAATTATAATAATTCAATCCTCTCCACAGGAATGATGCAACAGGGTTTCCATTCTAGGACATTAAGCTCTGCCCACGTGTGATATATGCCCTTTGTTATTATTCAGGGTCTCACTGTTGCAGGCTGCATCTGGCAGACATTTCCATGTCTGCACTTCAGCTGGATGCTACAAGTCTAACAACGCTTACTGCATCCAGTCCTTGCTGGGGACACTTATTCATGTCTTCTTCGGGTCTAACATGATTCAAGCTTCATCTCTGCCAGAACTGAATAAGGATTTCAGGATTTCAGTTATGGAAGATAACCAGTGTGAAAAATGAAACTGAAAGATTGACACTTCTGGTGTTGTTAATTCATGGCACTATTGCACCAAACACCAGTCAAAATGGCCATAAAGAATCGTGTCTTAAGAGGCCAATTTTTCATGACTAACCCTGTGGGTTAGAGCAGAGGAAAAGCAGCTTGATTAATTGTAACATTTGTTTTCATTTAATAGATTCATAGGTTTCCAGGCCAAAAGGGAGCACTCTGATTATCTAGTCTGACCTCATGCAGAAGAGAGGCCGCTGAGTTCCACCCAGCGATTCCTGCACAGGCTGTGCAGTTCTTCCATGGTCCATAAGGAAACCCTCCAGCCAGCTATAGAGGTAAGCATTACCTCATGCAGTATACTGGGCCGTATCCTGAGCTCATTTTACCAGCTTGTAAATCCTGAGGAGTCTCCTTTGCCAGCTCAGGGCTTACATGGGTGGAAGTGAAATCAGAATTTGGCTCATTACTCCTCGCAGTGTGGTAGATGGTGAAGAAATTTCTTTAGTACACTGAATAAAAAAAAAAAAAAAAAAGTGTAAGATTTGTATTTATGACACCTATTGAACTGTACTTTTTTGACTGAATACAGGTTCAGTAGAGGTAATGGCCCCTTTGGTCCTATAATGAATTTTGGATCTGTTTAGCTGACAACGAAGAAACCTGAATACTTGTATTGCAGTTTATAAGTGTCTCTGACCTTCTGCCTTGTAGACATCAGATTCACCCCTAATCCTGCACCGAATCCAGCACTTCTAATGGTATCAGAGCAAATAATCCAAGAGATTTCATTTAAGAACCCAGCACATCCTTAAGCAGTTCTTTTAAAGCACTTTTAGAAGCTATGTGCCTACCTCTAGAGAAGAAAATGTGAAAAGAATGACATTATACACTGAAAATCCCTGAGAGTAGACAAATTGCATATTTATCTTTACTGTTAAAAGCAAACCCAGCATATTTTAAACACAGCTCAATCTAATGTGACAAGAAATGAAACAATTCAAGTACAGTCACCCTTCAAGGTAGTATTCTGCTGCTCAGAAATACTCTGCATCTGTGCATCTACTTACAGCTAAATAGCAGACAAATATTGTTACACTGTAGTCACTGGAGAAAAAAGGGCCAGGACAGCCATGCTTGTCAATCAGGCTATTGGTAGCTAAATCTGGGTTTCTGCCAGCCAAACTTTCCAAAGCCTCTATTTGTCTGAGACCATCCAGTTTCTTTGATATGCACAATTTTCTGTCCCTATATTCTGTATGTTGTGCATTATACCACAGTCTTTTTCAGAAGAAAAGGACACAGTGCCTTTAAGCACTAAGACTAAAGTGAATATATGGAAATCATTGCATTAACAATACTTCCCAAGTGATACTCTCTAATATCAGAAAAAATTGTTGCCATGGTGACTGGCCTGACCTGAAACAGTTCAGCTGACGCTGAGCTTCCTTTTCCTTCCCCCCAGAAGGTACCAAACATAATATTTCAGAAAGAAAATTCTTTTCATTAGGTAATAGCAATCTCTTACAGCCTGTTGTTGGTACCTCCTTGGCTTATTAACACTATCAGTTAGAAAAAGGACAGTTTAACAAAAAGTACATTGAAAATTGGGTTCCAATTTTAACTGAAAATTATCTTTATAATAGGAAGTTTTGGTCACCCATCTCAGGACACCATCTAATCTAACATTGATGAATGGAAGTGGAGAGTTCAAATGTTCACTAAAAATGCAGTAATTCCAGTAATGGATGAGTTTAGCATTACCTGCCCACAGATAAGCTGGACAGTGGCATGTTAAAGCTTTCTTTGATCCTTAAAAACTTGGTTAATTGGTCTCATCATTAACAGGCATTTTACTTTAATCCTCTACTGGATTAAAAGGTGATCTTCTCATGATCCTGAAGTGATAACAATTTTGTTGAAAATTTTCTTTTCTTTGAAAGGGATGCTGAGAAGAAGGAAATGTCAAAGAGTGACATCCCTCATGCTGCTTCAGCTGCCTGCTGGAGCATGTTGCATTAATGGCTAAACAAGGGCTGAAATCCACAAAAGGTCACAGGTTCCTAAGCAAATGTTTAAAGGCCAAGAATGAAAATCACAAGGCCCACACTCAGCATGAACTATGCTTTCACTGGTTAAGTCTTCTAGGCGTTTAGGGAAAGACTCCAACTATTTTATGTGATCCAGCTGCCTAAGGTGCGTGCCTGAGTTTCCTAAAGGCTGTAAATTGAAGAAGCTTAGGTATGTAACCTGCAGGTGAGGGCAACCTATATGGAAAAAGTCAGCCACACTTCTTCCCAGGTACTCAGACTTACCATAAGGATTCATCTATTTTGGACCTAGGTGTTAAGCTCTGCATCTCTGAAAAGGGAAAGGAGGGACTGCATGTGGCATAGTGGGCTTCACTTCAGCGACATGTTCCCATGCCTTTTTGTGGCACATTTTTGGTTATACTGGTGATAAGAGGGGATTCATTAGGAGCTGCTCAAAATACTTCCATTGAAACAATGCAAAATTAGGTTCTTGGCTAGTTGAGCAAAGAAACTGATGAAGAACTTCTGCATTCTTTTTTATTTTAGCCTTTTTTGGTTGAAAAAAATAAAATAAAATTGGCTTTCAACCATGTTTATCTTACAATACCTTTGCTTTGCTAGATAATTTATATATATATATATATATATTTTTTTTTTTTTTTTTTCTTGGAAAATGTCATTCTGAGCAGCAATATTTATATAAGACATTTCAGAAACTAGCAGCAAAAGATGATCTTGAAGTGCAACAAGCAGTAGTGTTATAACTTGGGACACCAGAGAGACAAGAGCTGTAGGGAAAGTAGTGTCTTTCAGTATATCAACTACATAATTCAGAAAAAAAAAAAAAAAGAAAAAAAAAGGAAAAAAAAAAACAACCTTCCTCAGATCTCACTAACTTACAGAAAGGTCCTCGCTTGTAGTAAAGGACAAACAAGTATGTCTTCAACTTTTCCAGAATTGCTCTCCAGAGTCTGTAATTGCTCTCTTTCACACACACATACATACACAAACAAGTTTAAAAACCACTTATCTTGCACCAGTCTGCATCTGCCAAATACCATGTTCTCTGAAAGGTTACAAAGAAACATGGGATTCCTCTTACTTCAACAAGCTAACTGACTTTGACAGCTAAATTTCCCCCTAAATATGTTTAGAACTTCCTTTATATAGAAGTGTGAGTCATTCTGACAGCCTTAATTTGTACTGAAAAATGAATGTGTTAAACTTATTAGCCATTCAGGTTAGAAAGACTGTAAACAGTAGATTGATGACATTTGTACTTCATGTACTATACACTATGTGCCTACAAAGTGAGAATACAAGAGACAGTGAAAGGCACGCTGAAGATCTGCTAGAAATCATGTCCTAATCCCCTTCTTCTCTTGACTTAATGTTTCCTTGCTCTTTCATTTTCTATAATGAGGAGAATATGTATGAAAAGATGGACCTATTTTAACTGCATCATATTCATGGCAAGCATATGCATATTTCTAGCAGAACTAAACAACTAAGAATAAATATAGCAGTTCAGTAGAATTAATAAAACACTGCATGATATACAAAAAAAAAAAAAAAAAAAGACTTCCCCCCCATACCCTCAAAAAAAACCCAAACACAGCAACAATGGAGTCTGAAGACCCATCAATTGATTCTAAGGAGATGTTGAAGTTCAAGCCTTTGTTCAGCAACCTTGAGGATATCTGGGTATGAACTCTCTGGCTTGGTTTCTGTGTTAAAATATGCCTGACTTGTAAATAAGACAGACGATGAAAGAGAAGGGACAATCACCATGTCAAGAGTGATTTAGTTGGGAAATATCCCAACTTCTCTCTTCTCAGAGTTAAAAAAAAAAAAAAAAAAAAAAAAAAAGCAGCTTTCTAGAAGGTGATTCAGAGGTGAAGCCTGACTCAGTTGCTCATAAGCCTCCTGTGTATTGTCAGATGAGCTCTGGGTGTGAGCTGACACCTGAGCCCAACCTGCACACACCTGTGTGATGACCTGTTTGGGGAGACAGAGCAGTTTCCCCAGGCAGGGAAAGTCAGGCAGGAGAGTTCATACACTGTCTCTTGGCTTTGAGACTATTGGCCATATATGTGCATATATGGTCTCAACCATAGCTACCAAGGGTGGTGCAGGTATCATCTCAGAAAATGAAAGTAATTTTTTAGCTTTGAATAGTCTTCTAAATGAATAGATCTCCTTCAGAGTTTACTACTGGGAACATGTAAAACTGGCAAGTTAATTTAGATGTTGAAAGTATGAATAATGGTAGGAATTACTACTCTCATAATCGAACGGTGGATAAAGTCATGCAGTTTGAGAAGACTCGCTTACTGCACTATGATCTTGGCTCTCTTTATGAACAGATTGATGGAGCTTTGGGTCCAAAGCATCCCCTTGTCAGGCTGGGCTTAAGTTGTGAGGCAGTAGCTAAAGTTGCAGCTGGTCTTGTCAGTATGGTCCTTTCCCTGTCTACAATTCTTTAGCAAGTAGCTCTTCAAGGAGTGTCAAGAAGCCTAGCCAAATCATGTAAGGCACAATATTTCAGTGTCATTGTTTATTATACAGAGAATTTTCTATAGCCATATACTTAAAGATTCAATGGTAGTGTGGGGAGGTAGTCTTTATTTTAATGACATTTTAAGGATTTGCTTAGAAATCATAACCTTGTCATTGGTACTTGAAAAATCTTTGTAGCTCATCAAATCCAGTGAGTACATCTGTAGTCAGGAAGAAAATGTCTACAGCGGTTGTTTTCTATTGCTATCTGTTTGGAGTGTATTGTGAGTGTGGAAGAGAGCATAATGAGAATGCAGAATCCTCAACCAAATAATAGCCCACGAGAAAAAAAGCGTATTAGAGGTGTATGAATCTAAACGTTCATCTGATCTGAACATGCCAGTTCTATGAACTCATGCATGACTGACAGCATTGGTGTGATGTCCTTTGCAGAGAACATGGTTTTGCTTCCTTTGCAGAGAATTTTTCTGCTGGGAATCTATTGCATTATTATCTTCCACGGCAAATGCTGGCAGCCCAGTGGAATAGATAATGAATGTGTGACTCATCTGGGGCAGTGTAACCTGTGTGTGTGTGTGGATGCTTTGCATAACAAACCTAGCCTGAATTAAACATACATAGTGTTAGATCTGTTCCATGGACTGTGCATCACATTTGCAACAGGTTCAGACTGCAGATCTCCAAAGTCCTCAAAGATAAGGGCTCCTGTAAAAGCACACATCAGAAAAGAATATGATTGCATGTACACAGTCAGTACAAGCGGAGTGAGTACATATAAAAGTATGAATTCAGGATAACATATGTCTTTTGCGTGTTTTTTTGTATAGGACCACAGTAAGTCTGGGGTTTCACATTTTTGACTACAGTGAATCAGAAAAGAGAAACCCAAGTATATCTCTTCATGCTCTTGTTGCTCTGGGATTATAAAGCAGATTATATGTGTTAGTCAAAGC